CTACGTAGCACCTATATGAAGGAGACCACACAACGGAGGCATACTCAAGTATAGGTCTAACCAAACACGTGTAAAGCCTTTTCGTAATATAAGGATCATCAAGCTCTTTGGACCACCTCTTTATAAAACCAAGCGCGGACCTAGCTTTGCTTAACGAGGACTCAATATGCAAATTGAAACGTAACCTATAATCGAATAGAACGCCTAAATCTATGAACGAATCGACGTCTTCCAACCTGTGCGAATCAATGAAGTATTGAGTACTGAACGACTTCCTTCAAGAAAGAAAGCTTCTTACATTTATTTAGATTTAGTTTCAGAAGATTGAGAGAGCACCATGCAACCAAATTGTTCAAATCACTTTGAAGATGATGTGATTGCGATTCTACGGAAAAAGAAGAAAACAGTTTCACATCATCAGCATACATTAAAATCTCACTGAATTTAATCACGGAGGGCAAATCATTGATGTATAAATTAAATAAAATAGGTCTCAAGTGGCTACCTTGAGGTACGCCAGAAGTCACGGGGAATTCATCCGAGGTAATGAGGTTAAACAAAACCCTGAATGATCTACCATACAGATAAGAGCTTAACCGTTCCACTAAGAAGAGGGGAAAGCCAGAGGTCTGGAGTTTAAATCTAAGAAGTCTATGATTAACCATATCAAACGCTTTGCTAAAGTCAGTGTAAATGACAAAGAGTGTGAGAACCACAAGAAAAAGCCTTGAAAACATGAGAAGTAAACTCCACCAGATTGGTCACCGTAGATCTTCCCTTTCGAAAACCATGCTGGAAAGGAGAAATATAAAATTTCATGGAAAAGGCTATATGCTGAGCCACAATTCGCTCGAACAGTTTAGGTAAGACACTCAACTTGGCAATGCCTCTGTAGTTCTCTACAAGTTGCCTACTACCACTTTTGTGAATAGGAATAAGGAAAGAAGTCTTCCAACACAAAGGGAAAACACCTAAATTCAAAGACTTATTAAAAATCTTTGAGATAACATCACAAAGCTCGCCAGCACAAGATATAAGTACACATGAGGGGATCCCATCAGGTCCTGGCGAACAATTATATTTCAGAGAGCTCAATCCTTCAAAACCGTCATTTTCAGATATAACAAAGTTAGGAATTGAAATCGAATTAGAAATCGGGTATGGATAATTTACCGATAAATCAAAATTGGCAGTTGAAAAGTTCTGTCGGAAGTATTCCGCAAAGAGATTTGAGGTTTCAAAATCATCCGCTGACTCGGAGCCATTAAAAGACACAAACGACGGATTTATGGAGATTTTTCTTTTGGAATTAACGAACTTGAAAAAGTATTTAGGGTTAGCAAACAAGGAGGATTTAACAAACTGAAGGTAACTGCAGTAGTATTGGCGGTTGGGGGAATTAAATTTATGCCGTGCAACAGAGTAAGCGAAATAGTCGAGAGAAGAACCACTTTTCGAAAATTTTTTGAAAAGCTTGTTTTTCCTATTCTTGTAATATTTAATTGTTTAATTGTTTTATTAAACCACGGGGGACCCTTGCTTCGAGGACGGGACTGCTTGATCGGAACGGATGCAGAAATAGCTTGATTTAATATATTGTAGAACGACGACAGTAAGCTATCAATGCTTCCCTCTGAGAAATCGAGCACAATATGAGAAAGATGTGATTTTAGTATGGAAACATTGATTTTATGGAAATAATAATGTTTATATGAAAAATTTGAATTTTGAACGTTATAGAAGTTCAACGAACCAACATACTTGTAATGAAAGGAAACACCCAATGCTGGATGATATGGATTCTCAGGTAAACTAAACGGAAGACAACGATTAACGCAAACCTCAGGAAAATTTGCAAAGCAGAGATCAAGAAATCTACCATTGGAATTAGGGGTACCATTGTATTGAACTAAATTATTATCAAATAATTCATTGAAGAACACAACGGCTTTATCAGATGTGAGGTAGGAATCAAACAGCCAGAACTATCACTGTAAAACCAATTGACTTGAGGCAAATTGAAGTCACCCAACGCAAGGACTATATGGGTAGGTTTAGATTGCTTGGCCACTTCACAAATGAGGGCGGCATGTTTTTTATATACAGAGATATCCGAATTTGGGGGAATATAGGAGCAGTTCACATAAAAGTGTTTATTAGGAAATTTCACTCGAATGGCAATAAATTCAACGTCGGGAATAGTTGGAAATTCAAGTGAATAGGAGGGAATTGCCGAAGAAATGGCAATTAAAACATCACCAACATTGCGAAACAACCGATCGTGTCTGAAAACTTGAAACGAATTATGGAAAAGTTCCGACGAATGTAGATCCGGCTTTAACTATGCTTCAGTGAAGACCAGTCAGGAAAACTTCGTGCTCACTGAATTTAGGAAAGTAGAACGAATTTTTGAATTTAGACCCCTAACATTTTGATAAATGAGAGAAAATGGGGCTGAAGAAATATTTAGTTTTTTGAAAAGGAAAGAGCTAATGCATTCGCATTACGGGGTCGGTCCCGAGGGATAAATTCCTTAATTAAGGATCCAACCGGCCACAAAGGTTTATTTAAAATCAAATCCATATTTTCGGTCGGAACTAGAATTTTAAAAGATGAGATAGCTCTAGATTGAGAAGGACCCAGTTTGAAAATACTAACTCGCTTTAAATTAACAGAAGGGGTTTTCGCTGCCAGATAACCCTTTATGTTTTCAACAGATGTATCTGGTGCCAGTCTTGACACAAATATTGCCTTTCTGGGAGGAACTGCCTTCAAGCATATGTCATCAGTACTGGGAGCAGCAGGGCTAACGGATGGGGAGTTATGAGTTGGGGAAAAAATAGAGGGGGTAACCACACTTGCACGAGCAGCTTGTGCGACCTGCTCAGTTTGGCGACCAGAATTTACACTCGAAGAGCGAGGAGGAGAGGACGATTTACTATTACCCTTATTAGTTTTGGGCGATGACGCCTGAGAAGATTGAATGACATCTATGGGAGGAGATGCCACTTCAGCATAGCTCAAGCCAGAAGGACTTCTCGGCCTATTTGTAACATTTATGTTACCAACCAACTCAGCCGTAGCAGAAACATATATAAAGGCAAACCTGTTTTTGTGCGGTAGATAGGGACCGCAGAAAAAAAAACGCACAAAAAAAAATTCAAAAACTTCATAAACAGCTATAAGAAATAATTTTTCACAGCATATTAGAGAAAATTTGTTTTTATGCGGTAGAGAGGGACCGCATAAAAAAAGTCTCACTTAGAAAATATGTCAAAGCTTTACGAAATAGCAAGAAAGCATATATATATATATATATATATATATATATATGTAACATAAGACATTTTATCCTTTTAAAAATCACACCCTTTCCAAAGGAAGACAAAACAAATCTGTCGTGACCTCCCATTTGCAACGCCTACAAATATTCACTTAAGACCCCATACAAATACAAGTCGATTTAAATTTAAGTCGATTTCGTCAATTTACCGTCCGTTGATCTAGAAAATAGGTAGACGTGGTTATAGCTAAGGTCAATTGGATTAGCAGTTTCGATTATCAAGTTAATATAGCCACCATCAGCATAAGTCTTTGGAGATCGGAAATATTTATATATATGTACACATATCTGAAACATTATCAAGTGTATGTGTTCTCGGTAATCGGAACAACAAAAACGTAAGACTTAATGCCATTAATTTTGCGGTTGGAAATGTAAAAAAATTCGGATAGTTTATTTCGCTTACAAAAAAAGAAACGCTAGATTGAAACAAAAAATTCGACAAAGAACCAAAGTGTTATTGTTTTCGAAAAACTGTAAGAGGGGGCCACATTGGCGAACGAGTAACAAGATCACAAGACATATAATACATATAATACTGATAACACTCTAGTCGTAATTTTTCTCTTCTAGCATATGCTCTCACGTTTACGATTGCATAAAGAAACACTAAGTTTATCATTTTGTATGCAAAATTCTCAGAATCTATATATTTTTATTTAGTGAGAGAAAACTCTCGACGAGAAACTGTTTACAAACATAAAATGTCTCCAATAATCACATAGGAAAACTCTATTATCAGTTTCTCGTTTCAAGTACATATGTTCATCGCAGAGTTTTTTTAATATGATGTTAATACTGGGATGTTAATTAGCAACAAAAGTAAACAAAAACCAACCAGAATGTGTCTGAAAATGAACAAAAACCAACCAGAATGTGTTTGGAAATAAAACACATATATTTTTTAATAAAAATAAACAAAATCTAAAAAAATTCTCCCCACACCATTTTTATCTTGTTTTTGTTTATATTTGACACGTGCGTCATCACGCTGCATGGAATTTTTTATTAGAAACACTTGTAGCATAACGATTCTCTGATTAAATAATAAGTAACATACATAAGTATAACCATGCCTTACCTTTTCCTTGGGAAACATGTTATAAAGTTTCTCGTTAAACATGTTGCAATCCGCTGAACAACATGCCTATACACCTACATACTTTCTTTCCTTCTACTTATCAATAAGATACAGTTAGCATTGAACAAATAAATAATTGCTGGAGGAGCTATTGATACCGCAAAAATTTCAAATTTGTGTGTGTTTTCCAAAAAATAATAATGGTGGAGGTTCTATTGATACCAAAAACAAATGAAATATATATAAATAAAACATATAGATGAAATATATATAAACAAACAAATAGAATTAGACAATAGTATACATACCTGATGAGATTTTGAACAGGTTGTTACGCATGTTGTGGAGTATTTCCGGGAATATAATAATTGCACTGAGATAGTAATTGCACAAACAATCCGTGATGACGATAAACTTCTGTGCAATGGCAAACCGACAGAGACACCAGACTTCTTAGGATTTGACGAGACCGACAAAGCTAGGGATTTTACAATAATAGACGAACTATTAGAAGCTTGCATTTATTTTTACTAATTGTTATTTATAACCTATTTACTTATTTCTATTTAATTTCAGATTGAAAAACAAGATATGCCACCGCTCAACGCCAGACCATAAAAACCACCATATGACTCCACGCCTCTACGCCTCCTACCAATGAATGAATTTTATCTATATGAAATACTGTGACACAGAGAATGTCCATGTTGCAAACCAAGCCTTCACAGAAGTCCTAAAGGCGAGCAAAAAGTCATAAGTAACGTTTTGAATTATAAAACTATTTTCGGAGTAGAGGATATATAAAAAATGAAACATTGGTTTTGAGTAAACTAATGCGGAGCAATCCCGGGACACTTCTTTTCTGAGTGCTTGGAAACGTTTATAACTAGTTTGGAAAATCTCGTTTAATTGAAATGAATCTATTATTTTCTGTAAAGTTCTTCTACCGGTGATACTTGGAAGAATAGCGTTAAATAATCCACAAACATCGATTAATGGGCTCAAGTAATTCCGAATGATACTTGTGAAAACATGTTAGATGGAATTGTACTCTGCATAGCCCCCATGCTAGAAGATGTCTCTTTCATCCAAAAAAAAGAAGAAAATAATAGACTTGAGTTTGTTTTGCTTTTGCTCCCTTGGCGCAGTTTCAACGTAACGGAGAAGTTTTGCTCAAATTGGTTGATAAACTTTGTGATGTGGACCTTTATGCAATATGTTCTGTCTGTTCTTCATAATCCACTTCTGTCTATTAGACCGGACATGGATTGTTTATATACGCCTTGTTGTGCGATAACGGGCCCGGAATGTGAAAGATTCGTTTCTTATTGGCTTTGCGATCGCTTTGGCCAGACAAGAAATGGTTTCCCTGAATTGAGTAAAAATCTCGATTCCTTGTGGGAAATGTTTCATATCATTAAGTCTAGGCCTACCTAGTAAAATCACAACTCGTAACGTAGCGTGTGGTACGTCATCTCTCATTCCTCCTAAGTCCGATTCGTTGGTGCAAGTTAGCGCTTCCATAATGTTCCCAAAGAACCTCAGCGTTTCTGATATGGCTGAGACGGTCTGTAACAAAAAAGTTACAAATAAGTCGTTAAGGCCTTCTGGTTTAAGCTATGCTGAAGTAGCAAGAGTATCGCCTCCTAGTAGCGTCACTCACTCAACTCAGGCGTCATCGCCTAAAACTAATAAGGAGCGATATAAATCATCCTCTCCCCCTGGCTGTTTAAGTGTGAACGCTGCTCACCAAACTGGGCATGTCACGCAAGCTGCTCCTTTGACAACCCCATTTATATTCTCCCCAACTCAAAACTCCCCATTCGTGAATCTAATAACATTTGCTTGACGGCGGTTCCTTCCGGAAAAGCAATGTTTGTGTCAAGACTGGCACCGGATTTATCTGTGGATAACATAAAAATTTATCTGGCGGCGAAAATCCCATCAGTCAATCTAAGGCGGGTTAGTATTTTAAAATTGGCTCTTTGTCAATCTAGAGCAATCGCTTCTTTTGAAATTCTTGTTCCGACTGAAAACATTGATATGTTGTTAGATAAACCACTGTGGCTAGTTGGATCCTTAATACAGGAAGTTATCCCTCGTGAGCAATCCCGTGATACTAAACCAATACTCCTGTCGCCGTCAAAAAACTAAATGTTTCTTCAGGCTCACTATCTCTCATTTATCAAAATGTTAGGGGCCTAAATTCAAAAATTCGTTCTACCTTCCTAAATTCAGTGCATACGGAGTTCTCCTGTTTGGCCTTCACTGAAACTTGGTTAAAACCTGATCTATATTCGTCTGAACTTTTCCACAATTCTTTCCAGGTTGGATCCCATTGGTGGTGGTGTATTAATTGGCCTATCTTTGTCGTTTCCGTCCAAATCAGTTGAACTTCCTACTACTCTTGACGTTGAATTTATCGCCATACGAGTGAAAATGCTTAATAAACAACTATTTATAACTTGCTCCCATATTCCCCCAAATTCTGATATCTCCATATATAAGAAACAGGCCGCCCTCATTTGTGAAGTTGCCAAGCAGTCGAAACCCACCGATTTAGTAGTTGCGTTGGGAGACTTCAATTTGCCTCAAGTCACTTGATGTAACAGTGATAATTCTGGCTGTTCGATTCCTACTTCAACATCTGACAGAGCTGTTGTGTTCTTTAACGAATTATTTGATCATAATTTAGTTCAATACAACTGTATCCCTTATCATCCAGCGATGTGTATTTCCTTTCATCACAAGCATGATGGTTCGTTGAACTGTTTTAATGTTCCAAATTCAACGTTTTCAAATAAATATTACGATTTTCATAAAACCAATATTGTATTGCTAAAATATCATCTTTCACATGCAATGCTTGATTTGTCAACCGGAAATACTGAAAGCTTATTGTCATCGTTCTACAATAAATTAAATCTAGCTAGTGCTGCATCTGCTCCAATCAAGCAGTGCCGAGCCCGAAGCAGGTGTCCCCCGTGGTTTAATAGGACAATTAAATATTACAAGAATAGAATAAATACGCTATTCAAAAAATATTCGGAAAGTGGCTCTGCGCTCGACTATTTCGCTTACTCGATGGCAAGGCATAGATTTAACTCCTTCAACCACCAATGTTATTGCAGATACCTTAAGTTCATTAAATCCTCTCTGTTTGCTAATCCTAAATTCTTTTTTTAAATTTTGTTAACTCAAAACAAAAATTTCCACACATCCCTTGTATGTTCCTTTTAATGGCTCTGATTCTTCGGATCATTTTGAAATCTCAAATCCGTTCGATGAGTACTTCCGTCGAAACTTTTGGACTGCTAATTGCGATTTATCCGCAAACTACCCATATCCTATAGCTAACTTCCTTTCAATTCCTAATTTGGTTATTGCTGAAGATGATGTGTTTAAAGGCTTAAGCTCTCTAAAATATAGTTGTGCGCCTGGATCTGATGGAATTCCATCCTGTGTACTTAAATGTTGCGCTGTCGAGTTATATGGTGTTATCTCAAAGATTTTTAACCAGTCTTTGAATTTAGGTGTTTTCCCTTTGTGTTGGAAGAGTAGTTTCCTTATTACTATTCACAAAAGGGCAAGTAGACAACTTGTTGAGAACTACAGAAGCATCGCCAAGTTGAGTGTCTTGCCTAAGCTGTTTGAGTGAATTGTGACTCAGCATTTGGCCTTTGCCATTAATTCGTATATTTCTCCGCACCAGCATGGCTTTCAGAAAGGGCGATTTATGGTCATCAATTTGTTAGAGTTTGCTTGTCATGTTTTCAAGGCCTTTTCTATTGGCTCTCGCACAGAAGAAAAAGAAAAATTTCCACACATCCCTCTCATGTTTCTTTCAATGGCTCTGATTCCTCGGATGATTTTGAAATCTCAAATCTGTTTGCTGAGTATTTTCCACGAAACTTTTCGATTGCTAATTTCGATTTATCAGCAAACTATCCATATCCTATAACTAACTCTGTTTCAGTTCCTAACTTGATAATTTCGGAAGATGACTTTTTTAAAGGGTTGAGATCTCTATAGTATGGTTGCGCCAGGAACTGATGGAATTCCATCATGTGTACTTAAGTCTTGCGCTGTCGAGTTATGTGGTGTGATCTCATAGATTTTTAACCTGTCCTTGAATTTAGGTGTTTTCCCTTCGTGTTGGAAGAGTAGTTTCCTTATTCCAATCCACAAGAGTGGAAGTAGACAATTTGTTGAGAACTACAGAGGCATAGCCAAGTTGAGTGTCTTGCCGAAGTTGTTCGAGCGAATTGTGACTCAGCATTTGGCCTTTGTCATTAATTCGTATATTTCTCCGCACCAGCACGGCTTTCGGAAAGGGCGATCTAATCACTAACTTGTTAGAGTTTACTTGTCACGTTTTCAAAGCTTTTCCTAGTGGCTCTCGCACAAATGTGATATACACTGATTTAAGCAAAGCGTTTGATTTGGTTAACCATAACTTACTTATCTTTAAACTCCAAGCTTCTGGCTTCCTTTTCTATTTAGTGAAATGGATAAGCTCTCACCTGCACAATAGATCCTTCAGGGTTTTGTCTAACTTCATCACCTGGGATGAAACCCCGTGACGTCTGGCGGTGATTCATTCCAGTCAGATCTTAATGTATGCTGATGAAATGAAACTGTTTTCTTTCTTCTCTCTAGAATCGCAATCACATCAGCTTCAAAGTGACTTGAATAATTTGGTTGCGTGGTGCTCTTTGAATCTTCTGAAACTAAATCTAAATAAATGTAAGAAGCTTTTTTTCTCAACAAGAAAGTCATTCAGTGCTCAGCATTTCATAGATTCGCGTAAGTTGGAGGACGTCGATACGTTCACTGACTTAGGCGTTCTATTTGACCATAAATCACGTTTTAACTTGCATGTTAAGCTCTCGCTAAGCAAAGCTAGGTCCACACTTGGTTTTATAAAGAGTTAGTCCAAAGAGCTTGATGATCCTTACATTACGAAAAGGCTGTACATGTGTTTGGATAGACCTATACTCGAGCATGCCCCTGTTGTCTCCTTCATATAGGTGCTATGTAGATTCAATTGAATCTGTTCAAAAGCAATTGTTGTTGTTTGCCCTTAGGTAATTGGGTTGGGACTCGATTGCCTCTCTTCCTCCCTATGAAAATAAGTTGCTTCTGTTGTTCTTACCATCTCTCGAGAAACGTAGATTTGTTCTTGGCGTTTCCTTCGTAATCGAAGTAATAAATGGTGCTATTGACTCACCTGCATTACTTGGTGAAATAAACTTTAATGTCCACAACCGCTTGTCTAGGCACTTTATCTTGGTTAAACTTAGTCAGTGTAATGTAGTATTATCGATCAGTCGCACTCTACCGTAGTTTACAAGTTATTGCTAAGTTTACATTTTTCTGCTAACCTAGTTAAGGTAGTGCAATTTTAGTAGTAAGCTATTAATATATTAGTAGTAAGCTATTAATATATTATAACCTACTTTAGTTATATTAATTGCTCAAGTTAGCATTAAGTTAGTTCCTATAAAAGATACTGACCATACATCAGTTAGGTTAGAATAATAGTAAGATAGTGAAATATTAAGTGTTGTGTAAAAGCATTCGTAATAAAGAATTATTAAAACGAACCTTTAATTGTGTTTTCACTACATGGCGACCGTGACAGGACGTCGGTGAAAATTTTTTTTTTCCACTGGCGTCCTAGATTATCCTAAATCCTTGTCAAAGGAAACGAAATTTAAAAACAAAAAAGAAACTATTTAAAAAAAAAAAAAAAAA